AAAAAAATACGCATCTAGGCTAAATAAGGGAGACACCGTGACTGAAAAGCATGTATTGTGCCAGAAAAATAATAGGGTCGCGGTTATTACTTGTCGGTGGTAAATAATGTGCACACGGATTGCGGCTACAGAAAAATAACTAGCGTCAACTATTACCGGATTAGGTGTCATATATAAAATAATTTACTAACACTTCCATTAGCAACTATAAGTTACTGTGAAAGTGGGCCGACGACTACGTACAGGCCTACCTGTTGACAAACGTGTACCAAATTAAGGTGCAGCATGCTGCGAATAGCAGGCAATATTTGTATCATGCCTGAGAGAAAGGGGGCATTTCATATTCCAAACAAAGGAACCCCAAATGCATATCCGAAAAATGTCTTTGGAGATTTTATAAGATTACGTGAAACGGTAGGCGCTAACCCAAAATAAACTTGCAAAGATCATATGGTTGGGATGCGTTGCGAAAGCCCAGAATAATTTCTTCACAGCGGCGTCGTTCATTGTTTGATGTTGTATTCTAATTTCGTTTAAAAAAATAAATATAAAAATACGTGGAGTGTGAATATCGCTTCATCAATTTCACGAGCCAACCCCTCCATTGGCAAAGACCAAATCGAAAACCGCACTCGGTGAGTGGTGTGATACCTCAGGGTTTTTGACCTCAAAGTGGTTCAAGGCTTCGAATGATCGGCGTTAATTGTTCTCGCCAATTATAAATCAGGGTAGCCCCTTCAGACATGAAGAGTTAGTGTGCTAGGCCTTTGTAATTACATCGTTAGCATGATAATACGCCCGTTTTTTTCCTCGTAGCGAGTAGCTTTTTTCACCATTAATATGTAGCTTATGTAAACGATGCATTCACGTTGTCGTCTACATTCATGTTTCATGTTTCATCAGTAGAGGGTAAGGAACGGATCCGTGGTCACCCCTTCTTTGCAGTCACCGGACATGTGGGAGCTTTCAGGTCAGACCAATTCCCCCGCCAAAGCAAGGGCACTCCCGTGAACGGCACAGATCCTGTTTCAAATGGGGCGTCGTATTTCTTCTTGAATGCGGCAACTTTGTCGGCAGCAACAACGTCGGGGGTAGAGATTTTTCCATGCATTCACAGCGCGCCTTGAGAGTT